CGCCGCCACCACTGTTCTCGTGGCCTCCAAAATAGGTCTACCCATAAGTACCACTCACTGTAAAGTGGGTTCAGTAATAATGGTCGGACGGATCCGCAACAAAGAGGGTGTCAATTGGAAACTGTTCAGGAATATAGCGGCCGCGTGGGCCCTAACTGTACCTTTAACTGCCTTGTGTTCGGCCGGTGCTATGGCTTTACTACAACTGGCCCTATAAGTAACGCCCTATACAATCAATTACTCTATGTCATCAACCAAATCCCAAATACCCACATTATAGAACTAATTTTAAAATTATCTCTATGTTATCAACAAAATCCCAAAAACCATCCTGTTGATAGCATAGATATTTGACTGTTCATGCCTTACATATTGCTATAACTTATTACAACTCAATATTTCATTATAAATTTTCATTAATCTCATCTATTTTTGTTTCAAAAACATATTAAATCATGAGTTTTTTAAAACATTGTTCAATACTACTCTTTGATTGTTGACATCGGAGTAAACATTGATTTCAATTTATACATGAAATGAAATGTAATTTTATTTATTACTATTTGTTTTATAAGATGTGATGTTTTTTAAAACTTTTATTGAGAAGACTCACAACATTTGTTGAGCTTTTATCTGTTTTTATATTGAAAATAAAATAAACGAAATTTTAATTACTATTTTAATGATTATTTCATAAATACCTGAAATTTTAGGTACATTTTTTGTACACATGATTCTCTGGTTGTAATTCATTCATGGAAATGGTATAATAAATCTGTAAAATATTTTATTTTATCGTTCAATACATTTTAAAATGTAAGTTTATTATACAATTAATTAGTCAATTGCACTCATTATTGCAGTACATTAAAAAAAACTTTATAGCATCAACAATAAAATGTAATTCAGTGCAAACAGTAAATTCTATGTAATTTGCACTTTATTGCAGTATATGACTGCAAATTAATTAGTTTATTATTTTGTAATTACAATAATTAATATTTACAAATGAAGGGAAGGGAGAGGGTATGGAATGGTGTTGTCTAATGAACTAAAGTATCACAATTAGAAACAGAGACTTGTTTAAAACATTGTGTGAAATGCATTAAAAAACATTGATGTAAGAACTTTATTTAATTTATAAATTAAGCAAATAATTAGTTTATTTGTATAGCTTTTAATTAAAAGAAGAAATATAGAAATTAAATCTAAAATCAATTCATGATTAGTAAATGACTGCTTTTTGATGGACAGGTTCTAACACGAAACTACTTGTTAAAGACATTCAGAGTTAGCGATTTCCCGGTAATTATTGATCGTCCCTTTCCCTCGACTTATTATAAATGACAGTTAACTCGTGTTTTAAACGAACCATAAAGTAGTTAAATAGTAAATGTTAAATTGGAATTGATTAAGGTGTTTTATATTTAAAGTATAACAGTAAAATACTGGACAAAAATATTGTGATTACTGACTGTGAGACATTTTTAATCAAGCTAGATTATTCTAATTTTCCAAACCATATAGTTAACAACATTATAGAATTGCATAAAATACCATCAAAACTGTTAAATAAATGAATTAAATCAGTAGACTTATGAATAGCAATATTATAACTCTATTCAAAAGCATATAAACTATATTTTTATTGTATTTCCTCTCAAAAATCCTTTGAAACAAATTCAATAAAAAGTTTTTGTGCGACGAAAACCGTGGAAACGTTATAAATAAATGTGCACAACAAGTGTAATATAATACCAAACTTATTATTATTTACGATAAATATATGTAAAAATTAAATATAACTTTATCTCAAAGGAAACCAATAAAAAAAATATTTAATTAAACGAAAACAAAATCATAAAAATAAAGTTTTAAAAGTTTGAAAAAGTTTTGAGCGAAAACTTTTGCGGCAAAACAAATGAATGAGAGGGCAGTACTCCCACAGCACTCAACCCTCACAACCATTGCTATTATGTTTACATTTGAATGACATTTAAATGTGAAAAACAAAACACTTTAAAACCAAATCAATTGATCGGCGAATAACTGATCCATAATTAGACCTCATTTTGGATCAAACTTTACATTCAATAAACACTTGCATTGCATTCAAAAGCAATGTTACGCTTAAACGTGTCTTCAATGCAAATCTCGTCCAAACAGTCACACAATTTGCGACAACTTTTGTGGTCACAAACCAAGACATTATCGGCCATCAAATGCAGACATTCCTCCACTGCTCACGAGTCCTATCAATACCTGCAGAAGAGCTCTTTGCCGACCGACAAGTTTCAGGCATCTCTGCCACGACTTCCGGTTCCAGATTTGGCCAAAACATGTCAACGATATGTGGAAGCGCTGACGCCTATCATCGCCGACGACAACCAATTAAACGCCACTAAAAAGTTGGTCAAAGAGTTTGAATCGTCGGAAGGGAAGGCTCTTCACGCGGAACTGTTGGCAGAGAATCAGCGAAACAAGAAAACCAGTTATATATCTCAGCCGTGGTTTGAGTACTATCTGTCCTCAAGAACTCCTTTGCCAATCAATTTCAATCCATTCCTCGCGTGGAAAGACGACCCGAAGAGTGAATACAACACACAGTTATTGAGGACAACAAATATGATCATAAGTGCAATGCGTTTCCGGCGCTCATATGTGGAGCGACTTCTCTCTCCCGAAGTGTTTCACATGAATCCAATCAAAAGCGATACTCAAATGTATAGAAATGTCATGAAATGGACGCCAAGACAAGTGGCCACTTATGCCTCCTTTGCTTTCAAAGCGTTTCCCTTAGATATGAGTCAATTCGAGGCTCTTTTCGCGTCGACACGAATACCAAAACAAAATTTCGATGAATTGATTCGTTTCCCGGACTCAAGACATATAGCGATCTTAAAAAACGGACAGTTCTTTGCGTTGGATGTGTTGGACGCGAGCGGAGATTTGAAAGATCCGTCTGTTATAATGACATGCATTCAACACATCATTGATTCGCCAATCAATGCGACAGAAGAGTCAATAACTTTGTTGACAACGGAAGACCGGGACGTGTGGGCCAAAGCCAGAGAAGAGTTGATTAGTTCCAGCGCTCAGAACAAAGAGAACCTGAATCTAATCGATTCCTCGCAATTCATCGTATGTTTAGATGACATGAGTCTCGGGCCTAAGAGTCCGGAGAACTTAATACGAGTCGCGCATAACTTTCTGCACGGATTCAGCGATAAGACCAAAAACTATGTGAACCGTTGGTTCGATAAATCGTTTACAATACTCATGACAAAAGACGGTCGACCGGCCGTTAACTTCGAGCACAGTTGGGGCGATGGGGTCGCTGTCCTTCGCTTCTTCAACGATGTGTATCGCGACTCAACACAACACCCGTTCGTTCACCCGAACAGTCCATTAAATCGATCAATCGATGTCTCCAAAGAGGTTAAGAAATTAAATTTTCAACTCAATGACAGTCTCAAGGGTTATGTGATGGCAGCCAAAAGTAATCACACGAAGAATACCGAGAATCTGACCTTAGATTTCATAAAATATGACAAAATGAATAGAGATTACTTCAAACGTAAGAAAGTGAGTCCCGATTCCATGTTTCAGTTGGGCTTTCAAATGGCTTTTTACGAGTTATACTACAAATTTGTGGCCACATATGAGTCGTGTTCGACCTCTGCCTTCAAACACGGGAGGACTGAAACCGTAAGATCTGCGACAACGGCCACGAAAAACGCTTCGATTGCTTTCGCTAAACAGCAAAAAGCGAGTGATTCTGAATTGAGGCAACTGTTGGACGAATGCTCTAAAAAGCATTTCCAACTCACAAAAGAGGCGGCAATGGGTCAGGGATTTGATAGACATTTGTTTGTTATGAAATATTTGGCTCAAAAGACTGGAAAACCGATTCCAGAACTATATCGAGACAAGAGTTTTGTTGACGCAAATCATTACGTGCTCTCGACGTCCACTTTATTTGGTGAGGCCTTCGAAGCGGGAGGTTTCGGACCAGTCGTGGCCGACGGGTTTGGATGCGGTTATGGCTATACCGAGAATATATTGGGGACTATAGTGTCGGCGTATTCTCCGCACAGAAACGGCAAACAATTTGTCGATGCGTTTAGCGCTTCACTCGACAAAGTCTATAATGTTTTGGAAAAGTTTTAAACTTATGTTAAATAATGAAATAATGTTACAGTAGTTAAAGAATTTTATTTTTCTCGGTAATTTTGTTTTTTTTTGCATTTAATTGCCATTATTTTTGAACCGCAATCAACTAAATATAATTACAATTTATTTTATATTCAAATATATTTCATAAAATATAAAAAAGTTTTATTTATGTTATGGTTGTTGTGAAGACTGATTCGACGACTGATTCATTGAATTATTGGGATTAATCATTACATATCGTTGAACAGATGGAGTGCCCGGTGTGTTACCACCGATTCGCACAAAACCTCCCGTATGTGTGGGCCCGGGAGAGCCCGGCTGTTGCATGAGTACTATCCGTTGGCTCGGAGTTCCCATAATACCGGGTCTTCTGATGGCCGGCGACGTGACTTGTGGTTGAATTTGGATTCTATTATTCGTGTTGTTTGATGGTATGATAATGGATGGACGCGGACTACTCGATGGTAAGTGATATGTGATAGGAGTTCCCAATTGAGAACCTATTTGCGGAGCCACTTGTGTTCCCACAGATCGCGAACGCACCACAGCTTTGGGTTTCAAATCATTTAAAATGGACGCGGACTACTCGATGGTAAGTGATATGTGATAGGAGTTCCCAATTGAGAACCTATTTGCGGAGCCACTTGTGTTCCCACAGATCGCGAACGCACCACAGCTTTGGGTTTCAAATCATTTAAAGTAATACAAATATTTCATATTTTATACAAACAATTCAATACCCGAATGAAGAGCGGGACCCAAATATCCGAATTCAGTTTTGTACTCTTCGAGAACGTCAGGTGTGGGTCGAGATGTCTGTTAACAATCAATTCAATCATTACATTGATTTAGTGTAAAGTGAAAGAATACATACCCTAAGAGACTGCGGAAGTTTGTTAAGCAATAGCTGTTTGATGTGATCGGCGGCCGACTTGTCTGCGGTGAGGAGCGCCTTATCGGTCGACATGTTTGATGTCTCGAAATACACGCGAATCCTTTCGCCGATTAATTTCAATCGTTTGAAGAGAAAAGTTCGCTGAACTTCAGTGCCTAACTCGCAGAGACCGGAGACCGCGCCGTAACACGAGGCCATCGGCAACCGATCCTTATCCAGGGATTGGCATGGACGCGGACTACTCGATGGTAAGTGATATGTGATAGGAGTTCCCAATTGAGAACCTATTTGCGGAGCCACTTGTGTTCCCACAGATCGCGAACGCACCACAGCTTTGGGTTTCAAATCATTTAAATTAATACAAATATTTCATATTTTATACAAACAATTCAATACCCGAATGAAGAGCGGGACCCAAATATCCGAATTCAGTTTTGTACTCCTCGAGAACGTCAGGTGTGGGTCGAGATGTCTGTTAACAATAAATTCAATCATTACATTGATTTAATGTGTAAAGTGAATCAATACATACCCTAAGAGACTGCGGAAGTTTGTTAAGCAATAGCTGTTTGATGTGATCGGCGGCCGACTTGTCTGCGGTGAGGAGTGCCTTATCGGTCGACATGTTTGATGTCTCGAAATACACGCGAATCCTTTCGCCGATTAATTTCAATCGTTTGAAGAGAAAAGTTCGCTGAACTTCAGTGCCTAACTCGCAGAGACCGGAGACCGCGCCGTAACACGAGGCCATCGGCAACCGATCCTTATCCAGGGATTGGCTCAACAGTTGAGTGACTCTCGTCTGAACATTATTAGTGGTTGTGTTGAAGTTTTTGCAAATTTGTGCCAAAAGACGGGACGCGAAGTCTCGGAGCGCCCAATGATTGTCAACATCGGGTCGACTGCAGAGTTGTTTGGAGACAATGCACGTGAGGACAGTGGGTATGAGTTCGTGTAAGTACTTCTCGAGGTAGAGGTTATGATTGTCGAGAAGCGCTTTAACCATTCGCATCAGATATATGAGAAGCGCTAAATTGTTTTGAACCACATTCACTTTGACGCCTTCGCTGATGAAAGTGCAAAGTCGTGGTAACATTTGATGCAATCCCGGGTCGTATGTCAACGACTGGAGCGCTTCGAAGCGTCGGCCCTCATCAGAGCCCACACACGCTTCGGTGATCTCTTTGTAGTACAGCTGTTGTTCAACGGACAGCTCGTGAGTGGCGAACTGTTTCACTCTAACCATTTCCATCTGTTTCTTCTTCTTCTGTTGCAGTTTCTGCTGTTGATTGGGCTTCAGTTGCGACGCCTTCTTCAGCGCCATCGCCGGGTCGACGCTCTCCTCCTTTTGCTGGTCTCGCGAAAGTGGCGGCGGATTATCGGGTATTGACGGCTGAACGCCATCGATGCTCAGCCAATGCACTTTGAGGGCCACGTCTTGCGGCAGTTTGGGTGCGTTGGAAGCGGTGATCACTTCTGCCAAATCGATCTCTTTCTCCTCATTGAAGTACAGCTCACGTCCGCCGCCGGAAGCGAACCGAAAGGGAGAGTCCTCTGAATTGCAAAACCCGAACAACGGCTCAATATTCTTGTTCTTGAGGGCGAAATCGATGTCCGA